AATTTTTTAATGGTCAACTGACGTTTCACGTTTGCCGTAAACGAGAATCTTAAACTCGTTTACGACAAACTTCAAACTTGCTTTGTTGACAGAGAAGGTTTTGCAAAAGGTGAATTCAAATAGGAAAATGATGAAAACGTTGATATGTCTGCCCTTTGCGGGAAGGAAAAAACGTGTTACTTAGTCTGTCCACCATAATAGCCTATCGACGCGTTTTGAAACGACGAAGGAATTAAGTAAACTAAAAAAATAAACTAAAATTCAATCGCATGTTGAATTGTGGCTTAAAATATTTACTGGATCGGAATAAATATATGTTTATAAAAATATAGACTTTAACACCTGGGTTCAAACCATTTCGTACTCATATGTTTTCATTTTCAGAGGGAAAAGTAAGTTGTTAAATACATCAATTCAACATGATTTTAGCAAACCTTCCCTATACTGCCTCTCGTTACTATTACTCTTATCAAGTCTTGTTGTTTCTTACTAGTAAAGGTTTTCTTTTGTATGATCAGAATTAGAAAAATGGAGCTCGAAGTCGTCCTGATTGTGTTATGTGTTCTCGTGGTTATTACCAACATGGCGGTTATCTGTATGGTGGTGTTCATCAAGGAACTTAGAACTTTTACCAACTATTTCGTCTTATCTCTGGCTGTTTCTGATGTGTTAGTGGGAGGAATAATGTTGCCGTTGAACCATCCATGGGTTCCAAGTTCTGAAGTCACTGGACACGTGATAATGATAACCATGTTGTCTGGAGTTGGGAACATCTGTGCTGTTACATGGGACAGATATGTAGCGGTCATGGAGCCCTTTACCTATCGAACCAAGCTGAAAAGGTATTACAAGAAGATCCTGATCATACTATGGATCACAGCTATAACCTGTTCGTTAATCCCTTTAGCGTGGAAGGATGAGGATACATCTATTTATCATAAAGTATATTATGTGATGACTATATTAGGGTTCGTAATACTTCCATATTTGGCCATCATTATTGGGTATGTTCGTATATATGCACGTCTCAGGTACCACACGGCGCAACTGAAAAGTGAAGGCATCACACGTTCAAAGCGCGAAGGTGCACAAAGAGCATCACTGGAAGGCAAGACAGTCAAAGTCTTTGTTGTTGTAGTTGTTCTTTTTCTTCTAAGCTGGGTTCCAGTTATCTACATGACCATGGTCGACGGCGTCTTCCAGCAACCAAACCTCGTCCCCAGTCTGCTTCAGCGTTTTAATCTTCTGGTGCTTGCCGTGTCATCATTGGTCAATCCTTTACTTTATGGCTTCATGAAGAGGGATTTCAACGGTCAAATCAAACGCTGTTTATGCTGTCTGAAAACTACGCCTGCTGTCCATGCCTTAGCTATGGAAACGACTCCAGTAAGAGCATGCGCAGAAAATTCCGCATTTAATTAATTCCTCATTTCTTCGCCTTACTAAAATGCCTTGTGTAAATGAGTAAAAAGAAGTTAGCTGAATACATAAACTTTTAAAACACTGCAAGTCATAGAACCTCATCAGACAAAAGACTTAATCTTATCAGAACAACTGCAATTAATACTTTACGAGCAGGTTACTCAAAAATGAAAAAAAAACAAACATAATAAGTAAATTTAAGGAATAAAATAATAAAATAAAACACGTTAACAGCGCGTAGATACACAAAGTGCATCACTGGAAGGCAAGACAGTCAATAAAGTCTTTGTTGTTGTAATTGTTCTTTTTCTTCTTAGCTGGGTTCAAGTTATCTCCATGACCATGGTCAACTTATTTATTTATTTATTTAAAAACAAACCTTGTCCCCAGTCTGCTTAAGGGTTTTAATCTTCTGGTGCTTGCCGTGTCATCATTGGCCAATCCTTTACTTTATAGCTTCATTAAGAGAGGTTTCCACAGTCAAAACAAACGTTGTTTATGGTGTCTGAAAACTACGCCTGCTGTCCATACCTTAACTATGGAAACGACTCCAGTAAGAGCAAACACAGAAAAGACTGGCTTTCATTAATTAATCATTTCTTTGAACTACAAAAATCCGTTCATTGCGTTGTGCAAAGCATAAATCATTCAATTTATTGATATATATCTTTCAGTTTAGTTATATGTCCAAAAATGGCCTAGAATGACCCTTTTTCAAAATGGCATAATTTGCTCAATAAATCAAAAAAAGCCTAAAAACACCCAAAAACGAGAAAAACGATGGGCCATAGTCCATTCCTTTTGGCCCAAAATGGCCAAAMATGACGCGTGCGGATCGCCGAGTGGATCCGCATACTACTTTGACATTCCGATGACGAAATTTATCGCCAATAAGAGGACAGCAACAAAAAACTGATGTCTATTTGTTGTTKTTTTCATTATAATAACAAAATAAAACGATAAAACTTCTCATTCTTAGCGATCAAAACAACCATCGGATAGATCGCGCACTCGTTGACGTCAGCTTTATCTGTCTATGCTCTTGATGATGATGAAAAATAACCAATCAGCGCGCGAGAAATTTGTAAGTTATTGTAAAATTGTTTTAAATCAAAGTTTGAAAAACCTTTGTTTGTTGTTGTTGTTGTTGTTATCGTTTGAGCAAGATTTTCGGTTCATCTTAATTTTTGGTTTTATTCGATCAAAACCATGGGCTATAGTCCATGC